ACAAGACAAAAAAGTAGGGTGGGACTTTTGTACATCAAGAGTTGATTGGGCCATGAAAAGTGGCAGTTAGATATTAATTTGAAGGTTGATGTTTGGAGGGGATTCATGTTAAGATAATATACACTACTGTTCAAAAGTTTGGGGTGCGTCATCGTAGTATGTAATCAAGTAGGTATGTTCTGAACAACTCATGTCTGTCTAACAATCACAAGATCGTTTTTCTGGTGTAAAAAAAACTTTATAAACTAACTATGTTAGCTATGCTAGACGGCCACCGAGACAAGACCACAAGAACCAGTTGAGTCCTCCACACAATGTGACATTGCTGCAGCCTGGAATTGAACTGCTGGTTCGTCTGGTCAGAGGAGAACTGGCCCCCCGACTGAGCCTGGTTTCTCAAGGTTTTTTTCTCCATTTTGTCACCGATGGAGTTTTGGTTCCTTGCCGCTGTCGCCTCTGGCTTGCTTAGTTGGGGAGACTCAATTTCCAGCAATATCGTCAACATGATTGCACAGACACTATTTAAACTGAACTGAGCTGGATGATTACCTCACTGAATTCAATGATGAACTGCCTTTAACTGAAAACTGTTTACTATTATCATTTTGCATTATTGACACAATATTTTCCTGATTAATGCGGTACAGTTGCTTTGACACTATCTGTATTGTTAAAAGCGCTATATAAATAAAGGTGACTTGACTATGTAACAGCTCATGTATAGTCATTTTTTGTCGCAAAGTGGTTTATTGCTTATGCACTAGTGAATCAAGCCAGTGACTAGACGATCATCTTCACACTGTTCCTATTAGCATGCTTTCACTGAGTTAGATAACAGAATGTGTGAGATTACAGAAACTGCACTGCAATTATGAGATCCTTGCATCTGGTGTTTTATTATTCTTTTTTTATAGACATGACTGTGTTCGGCTACAGTGCAGTGCTGCAACCTTTGATGCAATGAAAATAGTTCTAAATATAATGTTATAATAGTTATAGTAAAACGCAGTTGAAGTTTTTGAGGCAATTCCACATGTAATGCTAATTTCATATGCAAATGTGTTAGCCAATCATAGCAGTGGGCATTTACAGCAGACAACAGTGTTCAAATCAGAAGGCTAAGTTCAGGGTGGAAAATGTTTTGATGTTAAAAAAAAATACTAGGATTGTAAGCGCACCACAGGAAACACTATAAAATCATTTTAAAAATGCATTTTCCCTTTAATGTGTCATTGATATGAAAAAAATTTATTCATTAATTTTTAATAAGGATTTCATGGTAAAAAAGCTAAAGAGACACTAAACTTTCTCATTCAGGCTCATGTAAAAAAATGTTGTAAAAGCAGATCTAGTACTGTTGTTCTTACAAAAGGATTGTTATATATTTTGCTTTCAAGAGCCTTGACTCCTTAGGGATCCAGTGCAAACTACTGCTAAGGATTAAAATTCAAGAACAGCATGAAGATACACTGAGCAAATAAAATTAAAAAAGAGCCTCTACTGTGATCTGAAAAAGTACTAGGTCAGTCTGAAATCTGATGATCGTTTTGATGGAATTGACTGAGACATCTCAGCAGGCCGGCCTGATATTGAGCCATCAGGCAGAAGCACAGCTGTCAAGGTGAAAATGGGAGGAGGAAACAGTAGGAGACAGAAAAAACATGCATGGCACAAAACCAAAGACAACACATGGACAAAAGGACAACCACATGAAACCCACACGGCTCATGCGACAGGCCACAACAAATGACCTTTAATGCTAATAAGACAGAGATCTGGAAGAACTGGTGAAATTGATTAAAAGAGCTCAGAGATCCAGCACAGGGATGATTCGCTTTTGTAGGTCAGATAATAGATGGGTGTGAGCTGATTAACAAGGTGCACATCTGAAAATGAAAAAATCAAGTGCACCACGTGGCAACAGCAGAATCTACAAATTAAGGTCACAAGGAAGTCACAAATCTTCAGACAGTCATGCTAACAACAGCTGCCCTAAACCAGTTTCACAGCCTTTTGGACTATAATAAAGGTTTAAGAAGAGAGAGAGCACAGAACTATAGAATAGCTCTACTGAAAGCCTTTAAAATCTCACTACTGATTACTGAATCACTAAACGAATCAGACTGACATTTGTTTGTGAGTCGCCATTCTCTCTCTTCACTAGACTTCGCTTAAGGAAAGACACTCATGGGAACAAATGCTCCAGAGCATTAGATTTGCCATTCACTATGCAGCAATTAGGCTACACTATGCAAACAACCAACTCGTTTTTCAGTAAACAGTCCAGTCGGTAAGGTAAAATACAACCTTACAAATGAAAAACAGTTAATAGTTTAATTTGAATGAAAACAGCACCAAAGTTTTACTATGTTTTTGTTGTAAAAACCTTGGAATCCTATACACTACAGTTCAAATGTTTGGGTTTGGTACAATTTTTTAATGCTTTTGAAAGGAAAAGTCTGTTATACTCACCAAGGCTGCATTTATTTAATCAAAAATACAGTAAAAAAGTAACATTATGAAGTACCGTATTATTACAATTAAAGATAACTGTTTTTGATTTTAATATATTTAAAAATGTAATTTTCTCATGTGAAGGCAAAGCTGAATTACTCACTTAACATTGTTGTGGAAACCGTGATTTTTTTTTTTCAGGATTCACTGATGAATAGAAGTTTCAAAATAACAGCATTTATTTGAAATAGACATCTTTTTTGTAACATTACAAATGTCTTTACTGTCACTTTTGATCATTTTAATGCATCTTTATTCTTTAATAAAAAATATAATTTCTTTAAAAAAAATCTTACACTTTAAACTTTTGAGCATTAGTGTAAATACCACAGTTTATGAAATAATCAGAAATCATTCTGCATCATGATATATTCAAAACATCCATTAAACAAATATACTTCACAAAATATCTTAGATATTAGATAAACTCTATTTGATAAATTATGTTTGGTATCATCATCTGAATTCAAATAGTTCATTAAGGACTACAGACTGTCCTTTCAGGTCTTGCACATGCAGTGAGGGACAGTCTGTGAGGAGCAGCTTAGAATCTGTCCAAATCACAAAACCAACAGCCTTGCACCTGCAGCAGGTGCTTTACAGAGGATGCTAGGAGAGCTGCAGAGGGACATTCGAAATGTACTGCTTAGTTTATTTAAGAGATATTTCACTAAAAATGTAACATTTTCTTAATATTAATAAATTTTTTCCCCATTCATCAATAGTTTTTAGTGATCACAACCCCAAAAAGGACAAAACAGAGACCATTAAATGACCACAATAGTAGTCTCATGCATTAAATACCAAGTCTTCTAAAGCTGGACGAAGTTTGTATGGCAAAGTGCTTCTTCAAAATTCTTCAAAAAAGATCTATGACACAATTAGAATGGGGAGTTAGAGACAAAGTGCCTTCCCTTATCTCTGTATAGCATGGGCCATACTCATTTGCGCTCATGCTAGTCCACAGTCCTGATAAGCAGGGTTACTGAGATTGTGAGCCCACTCAATTGAACTGAAGCATAGCTTAATTAAAGCACGCTGCTCCCAAGAGATCCAGGATTCCCTGACATCTATCTATCTCCACATGCCAACCTACAGGAACACACCAACTCTCTCTCTCGCTCTACATATAAAAAATATATACTTCTCTATAGGGAAGTTAAAATGTTAATGTCTCAGCAATAGGACACACACAGATTACACATTTTTAAAACTAAGGAAAATGAAAACAGAGAGAATTTAAAGAGTAATGAAGTAATCACTGTGCCTGTTTTTGTACCAGGGTGATACGAGGAAGAACGTTTCATTGGATTTCTATTGAAAATGACACGCTGATCTCGAACAGCAGTATACAGATCTGTTAAGGCTTTGACTGGAAAACCACAGGTTAAAACATACTGTGTATTACAATAACAAACACTGTGTCAATGTATGTACGACAAACAGATTTCAGCAAAAAGACTGTGAGGGGTCTCTTTTGAGTCCTGTGTTGATGAAACAACAGGTTAGTGTTGTTTGTTTGTGGTGTGGACAGTGCTCAGTCTGAGTGTGCTAAACCGCACACCTGCGAGCACATGGAGTTCACATCCTCAGCACTGCGACCTTCCCATGAGCAGGTGACCGAGGACAATGTCATTTGTGTCATGCCGGAAGTTGTGTCATATATAATCGAAACTACCCCAAAAATCCATTACTTTAAACTACGTCTTTGATATGTAGGCATTATATGAGAAGCGTTAATCTATTGAGAAATACGGGCATTTTATACACACATATATATATATATATATATATATATATATATATATATATATATATATGCATGTATAAAATTTTACAATTTTAAGGTTTAAATTAAGAAACAGGACTTGATGCTATCACAAATCAAAGTTAGACCGACGTAAATAATTTTGCAACATAAATTCAGATACACTTCAACAGCAACAGCAACACATTCTTTCACTGAAACTGCTTGAAGACAGACAAATCATATTCAAAAGACTGAATGCAGGATGCCGCTGGCCCTCTTTATCTATATGAGAAGAACCATCTATGAAAACTATGAAACATCTGCAGCGACGAATGGACTAAAAATGCACTGAATTAAAAACCATCACATCTAATGAGGTACAAAGTTTGTGTTTTTTTTTTTTATGGCTAATCCATAAGGAAGTGGTGACATTGATTACATTAGCTGCATGAAGGTTAAATGAATAGTAAACTACAGAGGATTACAGTAATTATATTCACAGTTGTCTTAAAAATAAATATGCAATATATTTAAAAAAAAACACACATTTGAACATTCTAAGCATGAGATACTTTAAATACAATGTAAAACAGCCTGTATTACATGACTATCACTGACTATAGGTCTTGGAGAGCCACAGTCCTGAAGAGTTTTGCTCCAGCCTTGATAAAACCTTACCTGCCTGTAGCTTTCTAGTGACCTTTAGACCTTAACTGGCTTGTTCAGGTGTGTTTGATTAGGGTTGGAGCTGAACTCTGGAGAACTGTGGCTCTCCAGGGTCAACACTGGCCATCCCTGATGTAATATTAACCTCATGTGATGTGGCCCTCACCATGCTGTGGTTGAACAGCTGAGTACTAGGTGTCTTCAGTAGTGCTGGTTGGATCTCTCCATTATAGTGTTGGTCATTCTTCAGCATTGTCTCAGTGTTGTGCAATCGGTCTTCCAGCACCGACTCAACCCGTGTCTTCAGCACCAGCCTCGGCTCCAATACCTGGTACAGTTTTTGTGGCTTTTGGTAGCAATGCTCACTGCTAATGTAGTCCTGAAAGGGTGAAGTCAAGGGCTCTTTACATTGAATGGCATCCAAGGATGTTGATGCAGAAACTGTTTTTGTGTCTGGAAGAGCCATGGTTTTCATCCTGGATTTCTCAGTCAGTTTCCATGGCTGATACCACAACTTGAGGTCTCGATGACTTTGGCTCCTGCAGTAAATTGGTATAACACCGTTTTCATGATGCTTCTCAAACAACATTTGTGTTATGGGTTCAAACAGAGATAAAGCTGAATCACTCACTGTAGCACACTAATTTTGAGCTGCAGGCCATTGAGGACTTCCACCACATGCTGAACGTCCCCTAACAGCTGATGAGTGGCTGCAATCTTCTTGCTGTTCTTATGGGAGTAGTTCTCCAGGAAAGAGAGGCCATACATATGGCTGGTGCTAAGCCAGTCCCTGTCATACCAGTACCGTAGACGCTGTCTCTGACCTCTGATCTGCCCTGGATACACAGAAACAAACACACTTGTAAGCTGAAACTAAACTAAAAATAGCAGAATATGCCATAATATAGATTTCCCAGCATAAGAAATGGGAACTGACAAAAAGATGAGTCAAACTATTCAAACTGCCACTCATCCTAAGGTCTACATTTATGGTTCCCTCCAGAAAACAACACTTCCAAACCTGGGGAATCCCGGCAAATGAAGCAAGCGTATCGTTCTGGAACATTCTCTTCCAGAAGGCCCATACAGGTTCCATGCTGCCAGCACAGGCACTCTTCACACTGAGGTGCAAGAGAAAAAACAATAAACATGATGGTTGTTAATTAATAGTGAATGTTTTACAACTAAATCTTCTACTGACATATAAATTACTGTTCTAAAGTTTTGGTTGGGTAAGATTTTTCAATTTTTTCAAAGTCTCTTGTGCTCACCAATTTAAATATATATTTAAAATGTAATTTATTCCTGTGATTGCAAAGCTGAATTTTCAGCAGCCATTACTCCAGTCTTCAGAGTCACATGATCCTTCAGAAATCATCCTAATATTCTGATTTGAAACATTTCCTGTTATTGTCAACGTTATGCTGCTTAATATTTTTTTTGTGGGATCCATGATACATTTTTTTTTCAGGATTCTTTGATTTTGAAAGGTCACCTGTAACATAAAGTCATTTTCCTCTTCCACTTCACACACACAACGGACAGTTTTCTGACTTCCTGTAGTCGAGGCAACAGAGCTACAGCTGAGAGGTGAGGCAATGACGTCCAAATCCACCCCCATTTCATCTTCACTCCATCCACAGCTGTCAGAGGACCTATCAGAAATGCTATCCTCATCTGGAAACAAATGACAAAACATGACTTGAGTTATGAGGGGGGAAAAATCAAACAATTAGATATTAAAATGACACTGACTCATAAACTTAAGATCATATCAAATTGCAAAAATATATAAACTCAACAAAAACATTTAGACGGAGATGGATACTTCAGTTAATTACATTCAATTTATATTTATAATTTACTATTACAAATAGATTTCAGAGGTGTAGTTACAGTGGTTGTGCACAGAAATAAAGATTCATTATCACTCAGAAAACTTTCTTCACCTGATGTGGTTTTTCTCATTTTTTTCTTTTCCTTTAACTTAATTCGCAGAAAGTCTCTAGTCTGTTTCTCTTTTAGCCTGTCACGCTCCTTCACACCTTCTACAAAGGAAAGAAACCTAAGCTCAGTTAGGCCATGTCATGTATTAAAGGAAAAACAAAGAATAACACTGTAAATCCCACATGCTTTCTGTGGCATACTATATAAATTTGATCCATTAGCCATACCCATTTCCATAAACCTCCTCTCTCTTTCCTTGTTGAAGTATCTATGCATGTTGCTGTCTAGCTGATTCTCTCTGGTCTTGTCCTTCAGTGATGGCCACCGTTGGTAATTCTGTGCACTGACAACAGGGGGCGCTAGAGAGAGTCTCTTCACAGACATCTGCGCACACTCATGTGATGTAATGCACCTCTTCTTAGAGCTATCCTGATTATTAAGTGTGGTGTGTTTGTCCATTGCCCTGGTCTGGTTAGGTTCTATCAGACGATCATCTCCATGGTAGTACTTCATATGATAGTGCAGGAGTTTTGCTTTCCGGAAAGACTTTGCACAGCCAGGAACGCCACATTTATATGGATTATGGTCCAAGTTGATAGAGAGCACCGGTGGAGGCTGGTTTCTGATGACTCTGTATACTGAGATAATTAGATGGTACATTCACTGTCAAAAATTCAAGATAATTGTGATGAATGATGATACTGTGAATTTGATTAGTATAGATCATTACTCACATGGCTCTCTGCTGAAACGGTTGGGGTTGTGGAAAGCTTGTTTTCTAACTGCTACGATAAAAAAAATCCACTAATCATAATGAACCAGGTGCTATTTGAGCATATATATATGCTCATATATATATATATATATATATATATACACAGGTGCATCTCAATAAATTATTAAGCAGCATAACTGTTTTCAGCATTGATAATAATAAGAAATGCTTTTTGAGCAGCAAATCAGCATATTAAAAAGATTTCTAAAGAATCATGTGACATTTTAAAATATATTAAAATAGAAAATAGTTATTTAAACTGTAATAATATTTCACTTATATATATATTTGCTTGTATGATCCACACAGTAATAATCAGTTGAAATGACAACTGGACTGATGCAGCATTACTTTCACATCTCAGAAAAATGGATTTATACATGGGGCTGATCCTAGATTAGCTTTCATAAACTTGGATTTTTAAGGAGCACAGTCTTGTGACTCACAGGGATAAAGCTGTCTTCCTGCCGTCCCTCTCTCCTCAGCTGAACCCTCTCCATGGGTCTCAGATACGGACTGGCCCAGTCAAACCACTCATCATAGCGATGGCTCCACTGGCGATAGTGGATTAAGACCTTCTCCTTCTCATAGTCAGTCTTCTCAATGTTGGCAGTATACCTGGCAGTGAAATCACACACAGACAGCTTGCTATAAAAACAGAGTGTGGGAAAGGCTAATAAAAAAAATAAGTGTTTTTAAAAGAATGGCACTTGCCAGTTCTTCAAACTGTCCCGTGCGTTAGTAACACTGTTTTTTTATATAAATACATATATATATAGAAAGATTGAGAAATTGAAAGCTGAAGCTACCATGGAAAGGAATGACTTTGCATCTCTTATAGAGGGGATGGAAGACCAAGCAAATGAACTCTTTACTTACACACATCTCTTGTGTATAATTTATTATAACAAATATTCATTAATATATGACTTGACCTAAAGAGGGACAGATGCAGGTAATTGCACATGTTGATCTCTGACTGTTTAGGTTTCTTTAGTGCAGATCTATGGAGCCGCTGTAAATAATCACAATGGTACACAAAGTCTTAAAGAAAAAAAACACTCTTCACTCTTATTAACTTATTTAACATTAAAAACACATGTATTTAGTGTAAAATGAGAAGGGCTTAGCCTTAAAGAAAATGATTTGCCATCCTGTGCAGCTGGCTTGTCAGTATTGTGATTATCACTACAACCCTACTTGGGCTGCTCTTAATCCTGCACTTAAACATTTATTGTATTTCTAATCTGTTTTCATTAATTTTCAGATGAAAAGTGCTACCCAATGCTGGTTGTTCTGGCATATCTTCTGCCACCGTTGCCTGGAAGTCGCTGCAGTGTTAAATATGAAATTTCATTCCTTCAATTTCCATTTGTACCGGTATGTTTTACA